ATTTCGCCCATACGTGCTCGATAGGATATAAATCACACGATTGTGGAGGACTTATTAACATGTGGGGAGTATTATACAGGGTCATTGAATCCGGAGCATGTTCCTTGTTTTAAATATTTGGCGGCCCCCCGAGGGGGCTGGGTATTAATGGAGAAGAAGTTCTACGTGACCTCTCTCCGCCGCCATGCAGACCTTGGCACGTTTAGCGACGCTCTGTTGCACCCTCCGAAGCGTCTCGGGGGTGACGGTCGCCACGGCCGCATGGATACGCCCCACCACTTCCTCCTCGGTTGTGACAGGGTGCCGGTACACCTCGTTCTGCAACAAATAATAAAGAAACGCAATGTTAACAGGAATATGTACGTTAAAGGTTGGAGGTGTTACGAGCCAGGGCCGTGCAGCGCGCGTGGCCTGCGAGTGCAAGAGAGAGTACGGAATATGGTATCAATTTGTTAATTAGGTGCACGGACGAACTCGATGCAAGATCGGGGAGCCGCTAGGATAGTTGATAACGAGGACGAACCTGATGCGAAATCAGGGAGCCTCTAGGATGGAGTCACTTACGGACGAACCTGGTGCGAAACCAGGGAGCCGTAGGAGGGTGTAATGTCGTGAACGAACCCGATGCGTAATCGGGGAGTCACTAGGATGGTTGATAACGGCGCAGACGAACCCAATGCGAAATCGGGGAGCTGCTAGGAGGTTGGAACAAACGCAGACGAACTCGATGCGTAATCGAGGAGCTGCTGGGAGGTTGGATAAATCACAGACGAACCTGATGCGTAATCAGGGAGCTGTAGGATGCGGACGAACCTGGTGCGTAAGCAGGGAGCCGCTAGGATGGTATTAGATTGCGTGGACGAACTCGATGCGTAATCGAGGAGCCACTAGGTTGTAAGAATTTGTATTTGGGTTAAGGATGTGTTAATTGACCTCGTAACTTCAATTATTAAATATAATATAACCCGAGCGGTAAAGTTATATTATTGTGGGAACGTTTAACTAACAATAATCGCTTTATATAATGATGGGTTAGAGAAGATAAGTAACTCTGATTTAATAATGAAACTAGATATATTCTTAAAACAAACAAGAAAGATACAAGTGTTCTGTGTATGTTTGTCGCGTCCAAAGAATAATTATAAATACCTAAAATGTTGTTGCTCGGTGTTGACGCACTGGCGTTGCGGGGGTAAGTCGGTTGAAGCTAAAGGCCGTAATAGAATTTATGCCGGTTTACGGATTCTATATGGTTTAATATTGATACGAAAGGGTACTGTAGCCCGATCTCACTAGATATAACTGACTATCAAAATCGTAGACGCGTAACGAGAGACGTGACGTTGACTCTAAACATGACGATACGATTATGATCCCCAGAGTAATGAAGTCTCGGGGTTTATATACCCAAAAATCTGTGGGGGTGGATTGAAAAGTACGTTAGAAATTACCGCATTCGGTATTCTCCGAATTGTGTTAATTACCGGGCTACTGTATCTCGGCGGAAGTGACCCCCATTCCAAAGGTTAGATACGTAGCAGGGCGATTTCCCAATGCACGCAAGTGGCAAGAAAAATTTGAGGGACGAAACGTTCGGCATACGTAACAGGGATAAGAAGAAACAATTAACACACCTTCAAATGCCCCCAGAAGAAAAAATCCAGCGGATTCAAATCCGGGGAGCAAGGGGGCCACGCAACAGCACCGCCACGGCCGATCCACCTTTCAGAAAAGGTGTTGTCAAGGTATCGGCGGACATGTGCGGCATAATGGGCCGGAGCTCCATCATGCTGGAAAATCATATTCTTCCGGATTTCTAATGGAATTTCTTCCAAGAGACCCGGAAGAACATGTTCCAGGAAGTTCTGGTACACTGGACCGTCCAATTTGTGAGGCAGAAGGTACGGTCCAACGACGAACTCCCCACAAATGCCCACCCATACGTTGACGGACCACCGGTGCTGTGCTGCGCGTGGGCGAATCGCAACCGGATTCTCATCGTCCCACACGTGTGCATTGTGGGCATTGAAGCACCCTTCTCTTGTGAAGAGTGCTTCATACGTCCACAAAACACACGCGGTGAACGACGGATTCCGTCGGATTTCCCCCAACACCCACCGCGAATAATTCATCCGCTGGAGATAATCCCCGGGGAGCAAATGTTGGGCCCGTACGTATTTGTACGGGTGCATGCTGGAGCGGCGCACGATCCGGTGCACCGATCAGCGGCTTACGCTGAAATAAAATTTAAAAAACCATTAAATAATGCACGCGCAAATTCAACGTTGAATCAATTTTGCCGTGTGTCTTACCTCGATCTGCGGCTGACCTCGCGTACACTAACCGTGCCGTCCCGACAAAAATCTCCGAGTATCTCGTCCGCCCATGCCGTGGAAATTTGACACGCGCGACCCACGTCGTGATGCACGGGTTGAAATGAGCCACTCGTGTGGAGCCGACTCGCGAGCCTGCGAAAACAGTTCGCGGTCGGCGGGTTTTCGGTGGGGTAGACTGTGTGATAGGCGCGGGCTTCTTTCTCCGCGTTTCCACCGGACTGCGCAAACACGAAGAACATCTTGTAATGCTCCTGGTTTGTACGCACCATTTCGTGTGTCCTTTGCTGTCGATAAACGCTGAGGTAGGGGAGACCGGGGCTAGTTGACTAACTTTTAACATATTTAATTATGATAAATGAACCATTGTTATTTTATTCACTTATTGTATACCAATAGTTTACACATTTACTAAGGTATACAGTGTAATTTTTAAAGCCGCTTTGATTAAATCTAAGTTGTAGTTTTTATCACATTTATGCAGGTGTGAGCAATAAGTCAACAAACCCCGGCTTTGGGGTTAGTTGACTTATACGACGGGGTTAGTTGACTTGACATTTACTTTTAAGTTTTAAACAAAAACTAATAAACAAACAACATTTATTTTTTATACATATTAATTATAACGCTGAATTTTATTTATAAATCGTCATTTGAATTTCAATTTATACAAACGTAAAATATTTTATTTAAACCGATACACTTCTCGTGAGCCCATTTGCTGCAACGTGTGCATTGCACCCACTTATCACCACGAACGCTCTTACTATACAGTTCGTCGCATATTAAACATTCAGTATCATCTTCTGATACTGAAATCGGATCTCTGTTGGATGATGTGGATGCTGTGGTACTTAATTTCCGAAAAAGAGATTTTCGTGCGCTTTTAGTCCTGTTTCTTACAATTATATTTCTTTCTCGCGGGCATTTCTTTTCTTTAATTTTTTCTTTTTCTTGTTTCAGTGCTTCTTTTAGCGGTGTATCCGTCAAAATGGCACTGCGTCTCTTTCTTCTCGGTTTTCTAGTATTCTGTCGTGCAGCTGCTTTCGGAAATGGTCTTACTTCTTCTGGACCGAATGTTTTATTTCCTTCTTCGTTTTTATTGATTTTATTTTCATCTTCTTTCGCGTCAGGTGGGCATTCATTTACATTTGCGTTTACTGTAGGTAGCTCTTCAGTGTCAATTATCAATTCTGTATTTTCATTGATGGGAGCAGGTCTGTCTGTTACATATGAAGTTAAAAAATCACTATCAGAAAAAATGTTATCATTAAAAGGGCAAATTCCGGTTTTTTGAAAGCCAGCCATTATATTCACTGGTGGTGTAGCAGCTAATGGTAAAACTGTTTTTATAATTCCAGGTATGTCATATATAGAAAATGTTTTACCAGGATTATTTACCATCCAATTATCAATAGCAGAATTGGTATATTTTTTTAGTGGTCCATAAACACTTTTATCTAATGGTTGCAATTTGTGCGAACAATGCGGTGGAAACGATAAAACCGTGATGCCATTTTCTTTACAAATATCTAAAGCGGTTATCGAAAGGTGAGAATCGTGATTATCGAGCAACAAAAGGATGGGCCTTTCCTTCGTGCATTTCGTGTGATGAACAAAATGCTTAATAAATTTTACAAAGTGTTCTTCCTTCATCCATCCAGATGGATTGGCATCACCCAAGCTTCCGGTAGGCGCGTCTCTAATAAAATGATTCCGGTAATTCACTCGTGGAAAAATAAAAAAAGGAGGAATTGTGTTTCCACTTGCGGATACAGCAACAGTGAGGGTTACAAGTGTTCCTCTTTCGGCTGACACTAATTTACCAATCTGTTTAACCTTCCAGCGGGCGCGCTGTCGTAAAATTTACGACAGAAGTGCCTAATCGCTTCCTACACTTTTACCACTTAATCGCGAGTATCGAGCTCCCAGCTGTCGACTGTCAGTATGTTCAGGGTCGGTACAGCGAGCGGGATTAGGCTTTCAAGACATTTTTACTTGATAAATTAGGATACGGTCATTAAGGAACCTCCAAACTCTACACGGGACTTGGAATCCTTGGAGCTCTTCCTTGCCTCAATAGCGATTGACGTATCGTAAACCCGCGTTGGCGTACAGCTGCGGACCACCGGGGTCTCGCGGTCGTTGGGCATTTCCCAAAAAGTTAATAATAATGCAGCGTTCTCGCTCACTCCTGCATGGTCTACCTGGATACTGGACGGCAGGGTGGGCGGAAATGCTGCAAATTGTTAGGAACCGCCCTGCCAAGGTGACGACGATGAAGATTGGCTTGACCAATCCTCCCTCCGGTAGGCAATGTTCGTCGTTGTCACCTTGGCAGGGGAAACCGAGGTTTCCCTATGGGAAAATTCAGGACGGAGGAGCAGATTAATTTCGACAACTAACATCGTCAATAGTTAGTATCGAATATTTGTTCGTGGCCGAAACACAGTATCTCAAAGATTACAGACGTATCGCGTGCGCGCAGTGTTGAAGTGATTGCAAGAAGTGTTTGCTATCCGAGAAATTTTCGTTGAACGTAAATTTTACGACACGCGCCTTCAAGTGTAAGTATATTATATAAACTACTTTTTTTCTAATTTCTTCCTCATTTATATCGTTTCTTTTATAGCTAAAGGTATTTTTTCATTTCAGACGTGCCCCATTATGGATTGTAGGCCGCTTACACAAAATGAGCGAGAAAAAATCGCTCAAGATTTATTCGATGAGCCAGAACAAGATAATGAGACTTACTTTCCCTCGAGTGACAGCGAGTTTTCGGAAGAAGAAATCGAGCAACAAACTGAACAGAGTGCTACCGAACAAGAAAACACTTCAGACGAATCTGAAGAAGAGGACCATGAAGAAACCATGGAAGAATTTTTCATTGGAAAAAATAAATCAACGAAATGGCGTAAGACAACATACCGTGTTTCTGGGAAAACTAAGGGTGTAAACGTAGTCACGATACCCATTGGTCTGACTCATCGAGCACGCGGTATTGAAAATGAACTGGATGCGTTCTTCCAAATTATCGACATCTCTATGATTGACGACATTTTGAAGCACACAAATATGCATATCGATCAGCTTAGAGTTGATCATCAATACTCTAGAGATCGGGACTGTAAACACATCGACAGGAATGAATTTATGGCATACTTGGGTCTACTATATTTGATCGGTATAAAAAAATCTCACCACGCAAATGTGAAAGAGATCTTTTCCAGTGACGGTACCGGAATTCAAATAGCAAGAGCTGTCATGAGTTACAAGAGATTTCTCTTCATCACCCGCTGCCTGAGATTCGATGACAAGAATTCCAGAATCGAAAGGAAGAAAGTTGACAAACTGGCAGCAATACGTGACTTCTTCCAAGCTTTCGTCAACAACTGCAAATTATCATTCAACTTGAGCGAATATACTACGATCGATGAGATGCTGCATCCATTTAGGGGTCGTTGTAGCTTCATCCAATATATTCCTAGTAAACCAGCGAAATACGGGCTGAAGATTTTTGCGTTATGTGATGCCAAAAGTTTTTACACATCCGTTCTAGAAATATATTGCGGAAAACAACCCGATGGACCATTTGCGGCCTCTAATACCCCAATAGATATTGTAAAGCGGCTAGTCACTCCGATAGAAAATTCAAAGCGGAATTTGACTATCGATAATTGGTACACAAGTGTACCACTCGCTGATTATTTGCTAACAAAAAAAATAACGGTTTTGGGCACAATGAAGAAAAACAAATCTGAAATCCCAAAACAATTCTTGCCAGACAAAAGCAGGACTGTTCAATCTACTATTTTCGGTTTCCAAAAGGACAAAATGTTAGTGTCCTATGTACCTCGGAAAAATAAATCTGTAATATTGCTCTCAACATTACATGACGACAACGAAATGGATCCCGACACCAAAAAGCCTCAGGTTATACTGGACTACAACGAAACCAAAGGCGGAGTGGATACTGTCGACAAAATGTGTGCCGCTTACTCGGTGTCTAGAATAACAAGAAGATGGCCATGTGTACTTTTCTACACTCTGATGAATATTGGCGGCATAAATGCTCAAATTTTATACAAATTTGCCTGTCCAGCAAAGGCTCCTAAGCATCGAAGAGTTTTCCTGCAAAATTTGGCATTCAGCCTCATGAAAGAGCATCTTATCTTCAGATCAACTCTCAGACATTTACCTCAAGATGTAAGTGCTTTTCTCAAAGTGAATTACGGCCGGAGTGTTGAACCGATAACAGAAGAAGAGAAAAGAAACCCTTCAAAACGCGGTGTGTGTCGGTCATGTGCTTTGGAGAAGAAAAGATCCTCAGCATCAATGAAGTGTTGCCGTTGCCACTCGTTTACGTGCAAGAACCATTCTACAGTTGAGGTGATTTGCAACATTTGTAACGATGAGAATGCTGATTCTGATCAATAGTCGATGAAATAGATTGTTTTAAAATATATACATTTTTGAAGCGTTGTTTAGTTTGTTTTATTCACGAAAATCAAATATATTCTTTTTAAAGTACTGTCATATACCATTTTTCACATCCTCACAACAATTTCCCAACGTTTATGTAAAAAAAAAACGCCATTTACATGAAGACGTTACACACGTAAAATTTACGACAAGCGCCCGCTCCAGGGAAATTTCACAACGCGCCCGCTGGAAGGTTAAAGCCACGTCGAGCTATAATTTTATCTGGCTTTTGCACTGTGGTTATACCCGTCTCATCAACATTCCATATATCCTTAGCTTCAAGACTAAGTCGATTATACACTATGTTTAAATTTGAAAAAAACATTTCTACGTTTGTTTTATTAAATGAGGTGGCTCTTGATAAGCTTGTTGCTTGTGGGCATCTTAAAGATAAGCTATTGTTTCGTTTAATAAAAGAAGCATACCAATCTGGCCCTGCCATTTTATTCTTGGTCCAATTATTTGGAATTTGAAGTTTATTCGAAACTGCATATTCATAAGCAAATTTTCTAAATTGCTTCGGCGTCAATCCGTAATAAATATCCGATGCTTGTTTTAAATAGTCAGATAAAAGATTCTCTGCTTCTTGAGAAAAAACTTGTCTCCCATTAAAATAACCAACACGGTTTAATGCAATTTCACCGGTTGTTAATTTCGCCTTTTTAACATAGCGTTCAAGCGTTTTTTGTGAAATTAAAAAATCTTTAGCGACGCTATTAATGCTTCTACATTCATTTATAACGATTTTGACTGCCCGCAAAATAATATCTGTCGGTGTTTTTCCCTTATCAGTTTTTCGTTTGTAATTCCTCATGTTGATGCCTGAAAGAAATTGATAATTATAATGGGCAAAGCAAAATACAAATAAAACAAAAACAATATCCGGGGTTAGTTAACTAAGTCAAATAACCCCGAACATGATTAGTCAAATAGTCCCATTCGACATCTTTAACATTTTGGTTGCTTTATATCAATAACCTTTACGCATTGAATAAAGTAAAAACTGCAAATTATAGCCAACATATCACACTTCTGTTAAATATTTATAAAAAAAATATTAAGCTGTACTTACTAGATAAAAATTTATAAATTGTCAGAAGGAAAATATTTACTTACCGCTATCGTTTTTGAATATTTCGCTCTCACTGATGTAAAATGCAAAATATTGTCACGGTAACAAACTACATGATGGTTTAGACCAGTGGTTCCCAAACTTATTTGGCCTACCGCCCCCTTTCCAGAAAAAATATTACTCAGCGCCCCCTGGAAATTAATATTTTTTAAATTTAAAAACAGAAAGATGTATGTATTACTGTTTCTACCTTTTTCGTAAAATATAGTAAAGAAAGGTGTAAATTAGAAACATTGAAGTTTGAAATTATGAAACTATTTATTGAACTCAGAATAGAATGATAATACAAAAAAAGTTAAAACATTCGAAATCATCTTAATGAGAAGGATGAACCTGGTATCCTGCTACCAATTTAGTAATCCTCGGCTCTATTTTCGTCAGCAGTAATCTTAAATCACCGCGATTGACTATTTGCAATCGGTTTCTTTTTTTTGTTAATAAATTGGTTACCGCACTGAATCCACGTTCCACTAAATATGTTGAAGGAAATGCAATTAAGAACTTTTGAATTGCAGCCCATATTTCAGGATAAGTCGTAGGGATCTCCTTTTGCAACCAGAATTGTTGGTAGCCGCTTTTGAATGTAAATTTCAATTCATCATTTGTAGTTACTTCCATCAGTTCTTCTTGTAACTGTGGAGATTCTTCTGTGTTTGCACTTGAAAAAGGATCCAAAATCCAATCAGGTATGTCCATTTTCAAAATATCATCAAATCGTTGATTAAAATCTGAATGGAGAGCATCCAAGTGCTCACAATAAGAAAGTATGTCTTCATCTTTTTTTTCTGCTCCTGATAAATTTGGAAACTGGCTGAATTCCCCTCGTCCAAAATTTCGTTTGTACAGAAGAAGCTTTGTTACAAATGCAAAAATAACAGATTTTGTTTTTATTAAATTCAGTTCATCACCTTGAAGCTGAAGATTGCTTTCATTAAATTTTTGAAACAAGTCTGTCAAGTAAGCGATGTCACTTTTGGATTGAATTAAATTGGATCGTAAAGCATCATTTTTATCTTTCAAGAACTCCAGCACCGAGTTGAACAGCTTATAAAACCTATCTAAACAGGCACCCTTTGATAACCAACGAACTTCTGTATGAAGCAGCAAACGATTAAATTTTTCATCGTTTTCAATACAAAGCTGTTTAAATAATCTGTCATTCAATGACTTGCTTCTGATTGTGTTGATAGCTTGAATTACATATTGTAATGAATTATGTAGGCGTGCACTTAAATTTTTGGCAACTAGATGTTGACGATGGATGATACAGTGTACTGTGAATGCATTCGGCACCTCCTTTTTTAAATATGCAAGAAAACCTCTGTAGCGCCCTACCATCGCTGGAGCACCATCTGTGGCTACTGATAAGATATTACTCAGAGGTATTTCTTTTTCTTTAAAAAACTCATCCAATGCATGAAATATTGATTCTCCTTTAGTATCAGTTTGCAAATATTTAGCAAATAATAATTCTTGGCAAATTTGTTCTTCCTTTGTGAACCGCACGTATGCTAAACATAAAGCTTCATTTCCTAACAAAGTTGACTCATCAAGTTGAATAGAAAACCGAGATGTTTTTAAATAGCCACACAATGAATCTTCAACATCTTGAGCCATTTCATCAATTCTTCTTTGCACTGTATTATTGCTCAACGAAATTTTCTTGATAATATCAGATGCTGGTTTGTGTAGCACAGTACGTATTATTTCACTTATAGCCGGTATAATTAGTTCTTCACCAATAGTATGAGGTTTTCCTGATTTGGCAATCATTAACGAAATATTGTAAGAAGCAAGCAAGCCATCGTCATCTTGTGTGGTTGCGGTTGAAAAGAGTTTTGCCAATGTTAGTTTCATAAATTTTTCTTTTAGTGTTCGAAAATAAGATAAATCCTTATCTTTTTTATCACCATGAATTTTAGTCAAATGTTCTTGTAGTCTGGAAGGCTTCATAGCTTCGTTTGATAAAACTTTCTGGCAAATCAGGCACATTGGTAATGTATTGTTTACAGGCGACTCAATAAAGCCATATTTCAAATATTCGATATTATATTGTCTACATTTTTTTTTTGGTTGAGCCATTATTATCTGTAGAAAAAAATAAAATTTTTATGGAGGTATTTTTGATTAACCCCTTGGGTACGGATTTATTTGAGAAAATATTTGCATGTGGAACGGATATAATTTTTGGTTGCTTGGAGTAGTATGTAAAAGCAGTACATTTTACGTAAGAATTTATTTATTTCTAAAATATTGGTGACATATGTAGTATTAAGATGCCTTCAAGTAATTAGAATTGCAAAACAAAAATTAATTAATAACAACAAAATAAAACTAAATGAAATAAATTCAAGCTATAACAAAAAACCAATTACTAATAATTATGCAGAGTGTGATATTTTTCAAAGCAAGTAGGTAAATGCAGTGCTACTTTGCATTGTTTGCACTGCCACGTAGTCTCTTTCCTAATATTATGCTTATAACAAACACGGCACCTTTTTCCAGGGTGTTGCTTGGACTTAGTTGACGGAATGTTCTCAGGAAAGTGCGCCCAATTTTTCGCTGCCAAACGAAATGGTGTATCGCTACTTGACGGACGTCCACGACGTTTATAATTTGGCAATGACAATTGCTCCAGCAATTCTTCGGCAATAGCTAAACGAAAGGAAGTAATGCCTGCCTTGGTTGTGCAGTTGATTTTAGAATATAAAACATGAGCATTATAAAAGGCCATATCTATTAGATAAAAAAACATTTTCTTATAACCCTTTACACATTTTCTCATAACTGGGAAGCACGCTAGCAATTGGTCTTGTTTATCAACGCCTCCCATACCTTTATTATACTCAAGCACAGATGCCGGTTTTATAATATTTTCGCTATCGCCAACTTTATTTTTTCTCCTTTTGCCTGTGTTTATCAAATCAGCATTTGAATGTTTCGTGCTAAGTATGTGAACGTCTTTTTTATCTCTCCATTTCAAAGCCAATAAACCGTGACTGGATAAAGTTTTGACTTCTCCTTTTTTCAACTTCATTGAAGAAAACACCTTTGGCATATTCTTCCTGTTTTTCCGAACAGTTCCAATAGCATTCGTATCATTTTTTAGTAAGGTCAGAAATAAATGTGGTGATGAATAAAAATTATCCATATACAACGTGTAACCTTTTTTTAAAATAGGCTGTGCCACTTCCATGACTACACTCTCAGTAGCAGGTATATCACTTCCCTGGATTTTATCCTTGCCAACATAAATTTTGAAACGAATACAATAACCTGATGTAGATTCGCAAAGTTTATAAAATTTTATGCCAAAACGAGCTCTTTTGGAGGCAATAAATTGAATAAAACTCAATCGACCTTTGAATTTCAAAAACAAGTGAATGACGTCTCTCAGACGTCAAATGTACCCAGGAGTTTAATTTTTGGTTTGACGTCTTAGACACGTCATCCGCTCCTAGGGGAAAAAAGTGAATGACGTGTCTCAGACGTCAAATGTACCCAAAGGGTTAATATTTTTTTTTTGTAATTTTTTGAAATATTTTAGTAAAAAACAAACTAAAATAAATACTAACGAAATAAATAAACATGATATTATTAATTGTAAAGCGCATATAATTATTACAAAATAAATAAATGTAGGATTACTTTTGAACCCAAGAACTCTACGTCACTCTGCTCGCATGCCGCAACTGACTCGCCCGCCGAACATTCACGCTTTTTAATATCCGTCCATCCTTTGCATTCGTCTCGCTTGCACTCTGTCTCTCGAATCCATGGGTTAAGCTGCGTCGGCACGGGTCGGCATTTGCCGATCGGCACAGCGTTCGGCACAAGGCGGCAAAAGGCGGCACAAAGCGGCACGGCTTTACACTCATACAGACATTTATACTTTCCTATCGCTCAGGTCTAACACTCTTCATTCACGCCGCCTTCAGTAACTCGAGTTTCACAAACATACCGACGCCGGTCTGTCGCAACACCCAGTCGCTCGCACGCACGCACACCGGACCACTCACCTCACATAAATAATACTCACCAATTATAGTCGCACTATTTGTTAGTTAACTTTAACTTGTCACAATATCACAACAATGTAACTTACAATTAGAGCCAGTATTGCCGCTGCCGTTCCAGGCTTTGGCCTTGCGATCGACCAATTGCACAAGTGGCAGTTGCCCGCAGCAATGCTCGTAGTGCTCACGTGTTTCGGAACGGCAATTCAGTGGCACCACATGAACAGTAGCAGTGCGCTAATGCACATACCTCAATGCAAGTGAGAGAGTATGCGGGAACCGAGCCAACGTCCAGTACGTTGTTCAAAGAAAAATTAAGCGTTATGAGTGGAATACATAAATCAATTTTTCTAAATCTTCTCTTCTTTCTTTTATGCTTTCACTGCCCCCTTACAGTTATTCATCGCCCCCCAAATGCACCTGTGGCCATCACCGCCCCCCTGGATCGCTGCAGCGCCCACCAGGGGGCGCTAGCGCCTACTTTGGGAATCACTGGTTTAGACATTCATATGTTTCAAAACATCGATTGCAGCCGCAGGCATTTTATAATATAAAAATTAAAGGCAATTAGTCAACTAACCCCATTAGTCAACTAGCCCCGGTCTCCCCTACTGTGAAAAATGTTGTAAAGCTGCGTCCCCACTGGGTCGGCACGGCTCGGCATTTGCCGATCGGCACAGCGTTCGGCAAAAGGCGGCACAAGGCGGCACGGCCGTGCCACTGCTATGCACCGCGGCAAAGCCATTTCTTTCTCATTCAGTCAGTATGTGAAACGCCAAACGCAACGAACCAAAAAATGTACAGTGACGACGAAGTAATAACTGGTGCTGCTGCAGTTATAGTAATAGCAAATGCAAAAAAAATGCCTAAAAAACGAAGATTTTGGATGCGTCCGAGTTTACGTAGCAGAAGAATATATAATGCCAGTGATATGATGAAAGATTTAATTTTGGACGACGAAAACGCAATCAATCTGGAATACAGGTGTAACGGTGGCTTTAAAAATTTTTTCCGCATGTCCTCTACTGAATTTGAACAATTGCTAAATTTAATCGGGCCAAAAATTGCTGCGAAGGACACAAATTTTAGGGAAGCAATCCCTGCAAAAGTGCGTCTTGGTGTGACATTACGATTTTTGGCAACAGGGGATTCATATCACTCCCTTATGTACTTATTTAACATTTCAAAACAAACAATTTCAAAAATCATTCCAAAAGTATGTGAAGCTCTCATTGATGTACTTCAAGATTATATAAAAGTAAGTATTGCTGGATCACGTTAGTTATATTATTAAATAATTAATCCTATTTTTTATATTAGATTTATTACTATTATTTACAATACAATACATAATTTATTTTACTAGATTCTATCCTATATTTATGAAATGTCAAAATTATGTTCTATATTTTGTGCACGTGTATGAGTGGAGGTGTATGCGGGTGTATGAATGGAGGTGTATGTGGGTGTATGAGTGGAGGTGTATGCGGGTGTATGAATGGAGGTGTATGTGGGTGTATGAGTGGAGGTGTATGTGGGTGTATGAATGGAGGTGTATGGGGGTGTATGAGTGGAGGTGTACAATGTAGGAGTAAGTGATGGAGACGGCACTTGTATGTTTACTGTGGATTGAGGGCTATTTGATGATTGTGTTGTAAAAGGAAATGTACTACTAGAAATAGGGGATGTGTAATTATGTGTGTATGGGTTAGGGTTAGGGTTATTAAAGGATGGAAAATTATTATATTTTCCCATTTCCGCTTCAAATAATGTAGTATTGATTAAATGTTGAACTATTGCTCTGGATTGTGGAGTCTGTAGTTTCCTAATTTTTATGGCAACTTGTTCGCCATAAAGGTCGTATTCGTCTTTTATCTTCTTGTTAGAATACATGTGTTTTAATATTTTGTACGCTTCTTTGGCATCACCATCATTTTTCCTCTTCCTCGATGGTATATTTTTCGGTGACACAAATTTTTGACTCTCTGTATTAATGAAATCCGAAGAGTCTTCCTCAACTTCAATTTCATTTTCATCGGAGTCTTCCTCCGAACATTCCAATGCGCTGTTAACCTGCAAATAAGTTAATGTTTGGCAATTAATTTTTTTAGATGCCTCAGAATGAGCAAGAGTGGAATCTTGTAGCAAAAGATTTCAACACCAAATGGAATTTCCCTAATTGTGTAGGAGCAATGGACGGAAAACATATATCCATACAGACACCACTAAATAGCGGCACAGAATTTTTTAACTACAAAGGATTCTTTAGTATAGTGCTTTTCGCAGTGGTTGACGCCAATTACAATTTTATTTATTGCGATGTGGGATGTCAGGGACGAATTTCTGACGGCGGAGTATTAAAAAATACATCATTTAATTCATTACTGACCGATTTAAAAATGAAACTGCCTGCCGACTGTGTTCTCCCAGGAAGAACACGAAAAACACCGTTTGTATTCGTAGGAGATGATGCTTTTCCGCTGAACCAAAGTATAATGAAACCATATCCAGGAGTTCAAGCAAAATATTCAAAAACCCGGATTTTTAATTATCGTTTGAGTAGGGCACGGAGAATTTCGGAAAACGTTTTCGGCATACTGTCATCCGTATTCAGAGTTTTTCGAAAGCCGATAATGTTGCAACCAAATACAGCAACTAAAGTTACATTAGCATCAGTTTATTTACATAATTTTCTTAGAAAAAGTGGATCAAAAAATATTTATAATCCTCCAGGAACATTTGACAGCGAATGTTCCGAGACTGGAAATGTCATTGCCGCTGCTTGGAGGGCAGAATCACAAGGATCAACATTGACAAATTTCACACAAATAGGACGCAAAAGTTCAGCGGAAGCGCAGGAAGTGAGAGAGGAGTTTAAAGAATACTTCTCATCGGCAGAAGGAGCTGTACCGTGGCAGTACGAAAAGTCATAATTTCTCGATATTTGTGCCATAACAATAAAATGATAATGGAATGTCAATATAAAGAATGTATTTTTATTACGTACCTTATTCTCCGTATCAACTGTCCTTCTTGCTTTATTCTTGTCTTTTAAAAATGACAAGCTTTTATAGGCATACCATTTACTTTTAAAAATGTCATCTGCGCCAGTGCCTGACTTCATGCTCTCTTTCTCTTTCTTCATTTCCCTCGCAAAATGACTAAGTAAATTTTTTATTTTTCTTTCTATTTTTTCTTTTGCCATGCCAAAAGACACTGCAATTTCTAGTATCGCATCATGCCGCTTGTTTCTATCCTTGTAATTGTTGTTTTGACAGTCCCATAAGTTAGGGCGTTCACGGTACATTTCTATGAGTTGCAGGACATTTTCATTTGTCCAGTCGTTTTTCATTTTCAGAAATGTACTATACAAATATAAAATTAATACAAATATAAATTTACTATACAATTCAATATACAAATTTACTTACTGAAGCACGTTTAAATAATGCACAATGATTGAAGCACACTGTCACTTTTCTAAACGATTAAAGCACACTGCCACTTTTCTAAACGATTTGTCACAAGCTGATTCTTTATACGATGCGTTCGATTTAACGTTTTGACAAACTGTGTTCGATGTTTCCGGGGCCCGTTTCTTCCTCAGCTCGGACACCCACCGATACGCGATTTTGGGGGTGTCAACCGATTTTGATATTAACCCTTTGCGCTCGAGGCGCTTTTCTGTCGTGTGAACCAGCAACTCGAGAGTAATCAGCCGCTCCCGCTTATTTCATGAGTTCGTTATTGTTAACTTAAAATAATTTTAGACACAATAAAACACTTTAAACTCTTATAATATTTTAACATTATACATATTTTTTTAACTTAATGAAAGACATTTATTAAAAATTACGTTCTATAATTTTGCTTCTTATGATATTTTATAAAACAATCTCCAATGCACATTCTTGGCTTGTCGGGGCATGTGTCACAGTAGTACACAGTTTGTCGCCTTTGGCCGGACGTTCTTTGGGAACAAAACTTGCAATCCTTTTTTTGTCCCATCAAAATAACATGCAGCTTCCCATTTAGTCGGATCACTTCAGAAGTGCTCTGTGACGTAGAAGCTGTGCTGGATTGTTTTTGTCGAAAGTCTCCTCTCAGTTGATCAACTAAAGTTTTCAAATATTGAAGGTGACTAAGCGGCCGTTCGTTTCTCTGCTTCTTTACTGATTTATAAAGAATATATGAATTGATGGAGCAGATCTCCAAACCCCAAAAAAATAGTTTTCGCCACCATTTTACGGATTTTCTTAAAAAACAATATGTCGAAGCCAGTTGGTCAGCTCGATCAACACCGCCCATAAATTTGATGTAATTTATAATAACATTGGGCTTTTTTATAACGACTTCAGTACCGCCTCGTAGAGTCCTTCTTACGGGAGTTATTCCCGCATTATTCCAAGTCGTCAAAGCTGTCACAATCCTCTTGTCCTTCCACGCAAGAACCAAAGTATTACCTTTGCGATATGCATATGTGGATCGATTCCCAAATTTTGGCTTTCGTATTTCACATGGCAGGTGCTTTCTATTTGTCATGATCGTCCCAGTTAGGTGGCACTTTTGTTTGCGTAATTCTTCCGCCAATATGTAACTTGTATAATAACGGTCCGTGAACATGTGGTGCCCCTGAGCACCGGGAATTTTATCCAGTATCATTTTGTATAGATGCAGCGGTATTCTGGTTGATACCGGTAGATCGGGTCTTATCAAAGTCTCTGTTGTTAGAGATCCATAATACGGCAGAATACCACAAATGAAGCCGGTATTTGAATCTGCGAGCGTATAAACCCGAATACCCCATTTCGTAGGTTTCATTGGACTGTACGTAATGAATGATATTCGGCCTTTGAATTTGACAGTCGACTCATCCACACAAATCTGCTCTCCGGGTACAAAATAATTCAAAAACCTTTCTTTTATATACTCGAGGAAACCAGATACTAACTGCAAACGGGTTCTAGGGTTTGTGTTTTGTGAGGGTATTGTCTTGAGGTGAAGTCTCCAAAATATTTGACAAAATCGGTCTCTCGTAAACGTGTCTGAGTAAAACGGAATATAACTAGTATCATTTTTCGACCAGTATTCTTGTATGTTGGCCAACGGCATTGTCCCCATATTTATGATTACTCCAATAAACGCCCAGAATTCGGTAACTGTTACATCGTACCATGATCGCCATATAGAACGGGATGATAATGTCTTCCCTTCCACCTTCCTTGCAGCGTAATTGTTAGTTTCCCGCACTATGTCAGTAACTAATTCCTCGGTGAAAAATAATTTGAAAAAATCTATTGGTTCTTTTATGTGTGCAAATACGTGCGGTCCTACTTGCCTTTCACCGGATACAAACGGTATTCTTGTGGGGATTTCTTCGGATTCTGTGCACAGTGTCCATTCTGAAGGTTCGGTCTCTTCTGTACAATCACTTTGGCTTCCAGATTCACTATCGATCAATCGGATTTTTCGTCTTCTTACTCCTCTAACGTCGTCGCTATCTTCATCACTTCTGTCTTCGTTCTCATGGGCAAGCTGTCTATGTAGTGATGTAATTTCATTCGTTATTGCCGAAAAATTGAACTCATCTTCACTAGAAGTAATTTCTTCGTCGTGTTCCATACTTATTGGGCTCAGTAACTTTGAAAGAAATATTGCGATCGGCAAAAAGGCTGAGTTCGAACTGATGTCGAAGACAGAGTCCTACCCGCGGTCGCAAGTACAGGGTGATTTTCTCGCCATAGGAGATGAAAGTAGTGCCGCAGACTAAACGTCGCGGCGATAAGCCATTCACGCATAGGCTGGGACTTATACAGGGTGTCCCAAAGATGTTGCGGGTCCTTAAAGGGGGTGATTCGGGGGATGATTGCAAACATCTTTTTCCTTTGTGAAAATGCTCTCCGGGGTTTCGTTAACGAGATATTAACAAAAAGCACCGACCAATCAGATCGCGCGCTTTCCGCCCGAGCTCCCCAGGCTACGCGCCGTGCTAGCGTGGCTACGCGCCGTGCTAGCGTGGCTACGCGCCGTGCTAGCGTGGCTACGCGCCGCGCTGCGACTTGTGAACAAGCAACTCGGCATGCAACGAGGAAAATTGCGTAGAATGGCAAATGAAAAAGGCGTAGCAAATAAAATCGAACACGTTGTCATGGTTTGTTTGTTATTTAAAGTGAATGATGAATAAAGGATAAATAGATGAAAATCACGTGTAACGTAAAAAGACGAATACACATTTTTTTTAGAGGATTCGAAAATAATAGTTATTTGAAGTGGGAGGATATGGAATACGTAAAATTCCTTGTGTCAATAACGTATCCACGAAAAGGAAATTAACGAAAAGTGATCGTAGTTCGTTATTGTGATATAAATCCGTAATTTAATAACGACCAGCACTGTTGCTGATAACGAATAAGTCTGTTTAAAAAGCCCGGATAAATATTTTCGTACGAGAATTTTAAGAATTATTGCCGGAAACAAGCCATAGCTTGCGTTAAATTTAAAAATGAATGATTACCAATAAACTGACTAAAACTCACCCTTGTCGAAAATGCACCTGTAACTTGAAAACTTGTGTCACTGGGTCACTGAACCGATCCTGGTCATCGATGGACGAGCCCAGTGCACAGCTGATCCCAGGTATACGACACTACCCAAAGTTAAGGGTCGCAATGTCAGGTGCGTCCAGGTCAACGTATCGAATATTCACTTCACTGCACGGCTACTAACACTGATCACTTTATTTTTTTGTCGTGAAACGTATTGTTCTTACGTTTTAAAAATTGGTGGCCCCGAAAGGGGCCGATTGTTATTAATGAAAGTATTGCTCCACATGACGGCCGTCATTATCCACACATGCTTGAGCGCGGAGAATTAATTGTCTTTGGACGCCCTATAATGTTTGCGGCGTTATTTTTTCCACCGCTGCGTGGATAAGCGCAATTGCTTCTTGAGGGGTGTCCACCGGTTGACGGTACACTTCATTCTGAAATGATTGTTGTACAACAAATACAAAACGTAAGTAAAAAAAAAATTATCTACCATAGGAATAAGTAAAGAGCAACAGCAACAATCAAATTACCTTCAGGTAGCCCCAGAAAAAAAAATCCAGCGGATTCATATCCGGTGACCGTGGGGGCCACGCAACGTGGGCCTCTCGCCCGCCGCGGCCGATCCACCTGTCCTGAAAGGTTTCACCTAAATAAGCGCGGACATCCATGGCGAAGTGTGGCTCAGCTCCGTCATGCTGGTAGTACATGTTCTGTCGGATCTCATATGGAATATCGTCCATAAGATCCGGCAGAACATGTTCCAAGAAACATTTATACGCTGGGCCGTCCAGTCTGTCTGGCAGAATGTACGGCCCCAACGATAAATTCACCACAAATGCCGGCCCATAGGTTGATCGACCAACGGACTTGTGCTCCACGTGGACGAAGCGCTAAGGGATTTTCATCGCTCCACACATGCATATTGTGGGAATTGAAGCAACCTTCCCTGGTGAAAATTGCTTCATCCGTCCACAATATGCATGTGGTGAACGATGGATTCCTTAGCGCTTCTCCCAACAGCCACCTGGAATATTGAACCCGCTTTACATAATCTCCGGCGTGCAACTGTTGCACCCGTACATATTTGTACGGATGCAACTTCCGATCCCTGAAGATGCGATGTATCGTCGTCTTGCTGACACTAGAACAAAATGCAAAAACATACACTATTAGATAACATTTTTTTTCTTAATTAATAATTGCTGCAGTTATCTTGAACTGTGACTTACTTTAGGCGACGGTTCAAAATGCGCACACTAATTGTTGGGTCAGCTTCAACGGCGTCGAGGATTCTCCCGATGGTGCCCGGATTTCGCGCTGCTGCGAGTCTGCCCACCTCGCTGCCTCGCGGCATCATGGACCCCGTTGAATACAATCTCGACGCTAAGCGACGAAATGTATCCTCGCTTGGCGTTTGAATATTAGGGAATTCTAACGCAAATGCTCGCACAGCAGCACTTGCGTTCCCGTTGTTCCGGGCGTACACCCAGAACATCCTATAGTACTCTTGAGCCGTGTACATTTCTACGACGGGTTTGCTAGCTGACTGACAGGATTTTTTTCAAGCAACTTCCACTACCCCGAAATAGCTTCTCTCGTTCCATTATGAGTTAACTCCCACCAGGACAAAATTTAGAGAAAAAGATACCAGCATTTGCTGAAAAAACACGTGGCCTGCAGAAGTGCAACGAAAACTTTCACAAAAGCCCGCGTTCTGTCCTTCT